AGGCTGGTCTCCAACTCCTGGGCTCAAGCGATCCACCTGCCTTGGCCTCCCAAGGTGCTGGGATTATAGACGTTAGCCAGTGCACCTGGCCTCCTCCATATATTATTTTAAAAAAATAAATAGAGATGGTGTCTCACTATATTGTCCAGATTAGTCTCAAATTCCTGGCCCCAAGCAATTCTCCTGCCTCCACCTCCCAAAGTATTGGGATTACAGATGTGAGCCACCACACTCAGCCTAATGTACAAAGTAAGTTATTGTTGGTGATTGAACAGAAATTACTCATCTTCAAGCTTCTGACATACATTAATCTACTCAATGCTTTGTACATCCTAAATTCTCAAATGTTTAAAGAAAGCAAAACTAGGAACAACTGTATAGAACTCTAGATCCATGGTAGGAAGATGGATTGCAGCCCTGGGAGATTTGGGGAGGAAAGTGCATGGTGAAAGGTGTGAAGTCATGACCAGGTAGATAAACTTCAGAGCTTCCCTTTGATGGGAGTCACAGTGTTGTATCACCTAATCTCAGAAGTTACATACCATCATTTTTGCCATAGTCTGTTAAAAGCAAGTCACCAGGTTCAACCCATATACCAGAGGAGAGGCATGCTCAAGGATGTCAACACCAGGAGGCAGAAATCATTGTGAGCCATCTCAGAAGCTGTATACCACACTCCCATTTCACAAATCAAGAAACTGAGGTACCACCAGGCGTGGTGGTGCATGCTTGTGTTCCCAGCATTTTGGGAGGCCAAGGCAGGAAGATTGCTTGAGGTCAGAAAGTCAAGGCTGCGGTGAATCAAGATTGCACCATTGTACTCCAGCCTGGACAGCATAGTGAGATCCTTGTCTCTACCAAAAAAAATGAAAGAAAAAAAAAGGCCAGGCGTGGTGGCTCACGCCTGTAATCCCAGCACTTTGGGAGGCCAAGGCGGGTGGATCACGAGGTCAGGAGATCAAGACCATCCTGGCTAACACGGTGAAACCCTGTCTCTACTAAAAATACAAAAAATTAGCCGGATGTGGTGGCAGGTGCCTGTAGTCCCAGCTACTCGGGAGGCTGAGGCAGGAGAATGGCATGAACCTGGGAGGCGGAGCTTGCAGTGAGCCGAGATGGTGCCACTGCACTCCAGCCTGGGCGACAGAGCAAGACTCCGTCTCAAAAAGAAAAAAAAAAAAGAAACAGGTTCAGAGAGGTTTAGGAACTTCCTCCAGGTCACCTAGTAATATGCTTAGGCAGGATTCAAACCCAGAGCAACTCTCCCTTTTATTTATTTATTTATTTATTTTTGAGACAGGGTCTCACTACTCTGTTGCCTAACAATGCAGTAACGCAGTGCTGGCTCATTGCAGGCTTAGCCCCCTGGGCTGATGCAGTCTTCCCACTTCAGCCTCATGAGTATCTGGGACTACAGGCACATACTACCACACCTGGCTAATTTTTACATTTTTTTTTTTGTAGACAGAGTCTTGCCATGTTGCCCAGGCTGGTCTCAAACTCCTGGCCTCAAGCAGTCCTCCCACCTTGGTCTCGCAAAGTGCTGGGATTACAGGCGTGAGTCACGATGCCTGGCCAGCTTTCCCTTTTAATGACTAAGCATATTAACAAAGTCACCTTAAATAATATTTAAGTAGTAGCTACTCTATGATGCTTACATGTTCTCTCATTTAATCTTCACAGTAGAACTACAATGTTGGTTAATATAGTTCCTATGGGTAACAGATGAGAATGGATGAATGAATCAAATGTATAAGCCAGCCACAGTGGCTCACACCTGTAATCCCAAGACTTTGGGAGACCGAGTCAGGTGGATCACTTGAGGCCAGGAGTTCAAGACCAGCCTGGCCAACATGGTGAAACCCTGTCTCTACTGAAAATACAAAAATTCACTGGGCATGGTGGCACACACCTGTAATTCCAGCTTCTTAGGAGGCTGAGGCAGGAGAATCGCTTGAGCCAGGAGGTGGAGGAGCCAAGATCATGCCACTGCACTCCAGCCTGGGCAATGGAGCGAGACTCCATCTGAAATAAAAAATGTATACCTGTTCCAGACAAACTCTAAAACCATTTTTCCTCAGCTCTCACAACATAACAGTTAACACAGAAGACTTCTGTGGCCCCAGGCCGGGCGCGGTGGCTCATGCCTGTGGTCCCAGCACTTTGGGAGGCCGAGGCGGGCGGATCATGAGGTCAGGAGATCAAGACCATCCTGGCTAACATGGTGAAACCCCATCTCTACTAAAACTACAAAAAATTAGCCCGGCAAGGTGGCAGGCGCCTGTAGTCCCAGCTACTAGGGAGGCTGAGGCAGGAGAATGGCATGAACCCAGGAGGCGGAGCTTGCAGTGAGCCGAGATCGCACCACTGCTCTCTATCCTGGGCGACAGAGCGAGACTCTGTCTCAAAAAGACACCAAGTGGGTGTCTTCTAATCAATTCCGACATTATCTACCTGGAGCCAGTGTCAGATACCACAGGTCGAAGGCTGGGTCCCCAAGGCTCCACCTCCCTTCAGACACTGGTCACAAGTCCAGGCCTCCAAAACTTGTGACCAACCAGCTTCAAGTTGGAGTTCCCACCCCTGCCAACCCCTGCTTTGGGGTTCAATTAATTTGCTGGAGTAGCTCACAGAACTCAGGGAAACAATATGTTTACTGGTTTATTATAAAGGATATTGCAAAGGATACAAATGAGGACATGTGTAGGGTGAGGTGCGGGGAGGGGAGGCAGAGCTTCCATGCCCTCCCTGGGTGTGTCACCCTCCGGGAACCTCTGCATGTTCAGCTAGTTGTTTTTTGGGTTTTTTTTTGTTTTTGTTTTTAGATGGTGTCTCATTCTGTCACCCAGGTTGGAGTTCAGTGGCGCGATCTCAGCTCACTACAACCTCCACCTCCTGGGCTCGAGCGATTCTCATTCCTCAGCCTCCCAAGTACCACACCACCTAGCTGATTTTTTTTTTTTTTTTTTTTTTTTTTTTTTTTGGCTATTTTTGGTAGAGATGGGATTTTGCCGTTTCCCAGGCTGGTCTCAAATTCCTGGGCTCAGGAAATCCAGCCACCCCGGCCTCCCAAAGTGCTGGGATTATAGGCATGAGCCACCATGCCCAGCCATGTTTAGCTATGCAGAAGCTTTCTAAGGCCAGTCCTCTTGGGTTTTTAATGGAAGCTTCATGATGTCAGCATTCCTTTCCCAAATTCTCCCTCTGGAATGAGGATCTTATGACCCACTATTGGAAAGGCAGGGGAAGATGAGAGTCCTGCCTTGGGGCGGGTGAAGGGAAGAGCAGGAAGAGGCCAGAGAGATTCCTTTTCCTGACACCCACATCCTAACACAAGGCTAACGGGCTGTGGGAATTAGGAGCCAGGAACTGTGGATGAAGACCTAGAATATGTGTGTGTGTGTATATATATATATATATAAAAAACACCACAGTAACCATTTGCCCAAGGCCACAGAGTGGTTGAGGGTACTACCATTCCTAGACAAAGCAGGGGCCAGTGGAGAAAGGTTTGGCCTGGCCTTGGGAGAGGAAGTGCTCTGCACAGCCTGCCTCTGCTTTCTGTATTGCGGGACCAGGATGGTTCATCAGGCTTCCCTGGGCCTGCATGGAAGGACCCCTCAACAGTCTTGGCCCCTCTTAGCACAGGCCCACCTGACCACCACTGATGCCCTCATTTCACTTGCTGTGGATGGAAACCTGCATGTGTCAGGCACTGGATGGGAGTCATGCTCACACCACGCTCCAGCCACGCTGGCCTTTGAGTCCCCCAGTCTCAGAGCTTTGACCCAGGCTCTTCTCTCTGCCTGGAATGTGCCCCATCCCTGTTACCTGGTAAACTCTTACCCCTGCTTCAGCTCCCAGCTCAGATATTCCTCCCTTGGGAGGTCACTCCTGGCTGGAAGACTGGAAGACGCTCCCTTGGCCACACACTTTCCTAAGTGCACTTACGGCAGCTCCTCACCGTGCAAGCTGTGGAGGGTGCTGTGGAGGGTGAGCCCTGGGAAGCTGGCCCGTGTCCATTTTGCTCGACCTTTCATCTAGCACAGGGCCTAGCAAAGAGGAGGCAGTGGGTGAGTGTTGCTATTTGTGGGATGCCAGTCAGGTCGGGGTGCCTCCTGTGGGTGATGCCAGGGTCAGCCAGCCAGTTTTCCCCAGGAAACCTCTATCCTGCAGTAACCTCTACGTTAAAGTGCTAATAGGAAAGAACAGAAGGGCTTCCTGACTTCCTCTGTAAACACTTAAAAGGGACTTCTGGAGACCACTCATTTTGTCATGTTCTGTCCCTGGGTAATGACTTTAGGGTGGGACTTTCTTGCGCTGAAGGATAAATAAACCCGTAGCAGGAGGGGGTGCAGCATCTATTTTAGGGTAGAGGAGAGGCCTGTTTCAGAACCTTTCAAATTGCAGGGCCTATTCTGGAAGTGTAGAAAAGGGTTTTTAATAGGAGAGGAGCACTATTTCATTATGTTAAAATAATGTTTACAAAGAGTCTGTAAGAATGCTGCAAGAAAATGCACATGCTATATAATATAATGTAAATATATGTGCATGTACATCTCATTTGATCTCACTTATGTAAAAATATGCATTCCTAATAATGGCTTATCCTTACTGAGTTACTTATTAAATGTCACAACAACCTTTTAAAGTAGGTACTCTTACCTCCGTTTTGCAGATACAGGTTAGGTAATTTTTCCCAAGGTCACACAGCTAGTAAAGGACAGAGTTCATATTTGAAACCCAGTCCGTCAGGCTCTATAGCCCCTACTCTTAACCATTATATTATGCAGGGAGAAATCCATCAACATGTTGTCTTTGGGTGGTGGTTTATTTTCTTCTCTATTCTCCAGGATTTTCTATTTATATTTACTATAGGAGTTAAATGATAAACTTTTGAATAGCAAAGAAGGTGGAGTGGTGAAATTTGAAAGCCAAACATATGCTTTCAAACAAAAGAATTCACCCCATTTCCTTTTCCACTTTTCTACATTTTCCAGAACTGATGACCACCCCAATTTTACGGCCCACTGAGGCCCTGTCCCCAGAAGATGGAGCCAGCACAGCACTCATTGCAGGTAATAGACTCTGAGCCAACTCCAAGGGACCTTCTGGATCAAGGGCATCTCTCTCGGGAGAGAGCCTGACCAAATCCATTAATGGGCTCACCCTGGCATGCAAGTTATATTATACACACACACACACACACACACACACACAGCTATAAAAGACTCAGAGGCTTCTGTCAGAGGCACTACCAGTAAATGACAGGTTGGGAGGTGGCCACAAATAGATATGCATACGGACGTTACACTCGAGTACATGGGTAGGGACGAGGATATATGTGGTTGGTTGAGTGGGTGAGGAAGAGGGGGAGGATCAGAGAAACCACTTCCTGTTAGGATAAGCCATTTCCTGTTCCCTCCTTCCCGTTTCTGTAAGAATCAGGAACTGGTTTGGGAGGGAGTTCAGTTTTATCAGAAATCAAAAGCATGTGTCCTTAGCTTAACTTAAGCACCAGCAGACTCCGGCTATTATGTGCCATGGAAATTGGGGTTGGTGGGGGAACATGGTTTGGATGGAAGTGGACACTAGTTAACGAAAACAAGAGGATCTTTATGAAAACAGTGACTAAATCAGATGACTCCAGGAATTACTGAGACATCCTCAATCCTGAAACATCTCTACATTTTCCCTCTCCTTTCCAAGTTGTTATCACCGTGGTCTTCCTCACCCTGCTCTCGGTCGTGATCTTGATCTTCTTTTACCTGTACAAGAACAAAGGCAGCTACGTCACCTATGAACCTACAGAAGGCGAGCCCAGTGCCATCGTCCAGATGGAGAGTGACTTGGCCAAGGGCAGGGAGAAGGAGGAATATTTCATCTAATGACTCCCGGGCCCCAAGGAGCTTATTCCTGGCTCCAGCACTAACATATTGACTGCTTATTACGGGAAAGTTTTATCTGAAGCCAGGGAGAAGCATTGATTGATGTGGGCAAATCCAAGCTCCAGCCAGGTCGCAGTCCCAAATGCCGACATCACTGACTCCAGGGACCAGGGACATGGAGAAAGCTGTTTATGGTATCTTTAACCAGGCCCTCTTATCAGAGCTGGTGTTTTTGACTGGTCAAAAAGATGGGGCTATATGAGGGGACATCTGAGTATGTGCCCAGTCATCTTTTTTCACACGTTGAAGGGAGAGAAAAGAGCGTTAGGGCCATTGGCTGCTCTACTCTGTCCCCTACCTGGTTACCTAGTGATAGCCCCAGTGGAGATACTGTCCATACAAGGTCTTCCCAGAGGCTGGATACCACAGTAAAAGGCCAGGCCAGGAAGGGTAGGAGACTCTGGAGATCTTACCTCCTGATAAATGTGCTACATCCCCTAATCTGAGCCCTTCCTTTCCGTGTTCCCCAACAACAACATGCTTACGTGATTTTTATCCAAATTAAAATTTTTCATTGCTACAGAAGTCCAATTCTCATGTGCAAGAAGTAACTACCTTTACATTTTGACTTATTTTTCCTTAAACATTTTTGACATTTTCTTTTACCTATTTAATGCCTTTGCATGTGTTCTCTCCCAAGCAATAAGAACCTTAGGAAAGTTCTAGAAGTTTGCAGAACTATCTTAGAGATTTGAGACAAAGATGGTGCAGGAAAGCTTGTTCCAGAGTAATGTCATTAGAAACATACCTGGGAAGGGTGCAGTGGCTCACGCCTGTAATCCCAACACTTTGGAGGCCAAGGCGGGCAGATCATGAGGTCAGGAGATAGAGATCATCCTGGCTAACACAGTGAAGCCCTGTCTCTACTAAAAATACAAAAAAAATTAGCCGGGCGTGGTGGCGGACGCCTGTAGTCCCAGCTACTCGGGAGGCTGAGGCAGGAGAATGGCATGAACCCGGGAGGTGGAGCTTGCAGTGAGCCAAGATTGCGCCACTGCACTCCAGCCTGGGCAACAGAGCGAGACTCCATCTCGGAAAAAAATAAAATAAAATAAATAAATAAACCTACCCTGGGAGATGAGTTGGTTCAAGCCTCCATCCTGGCAAGGGCCAGAATTTCCTAGAATCCCTTCTATGTATATACAGAAGGAACCAGGAAAAATCAAGCTACCGCCTTTCCCAGTGTATCCTCAGAATCAAGCCAAGAGTTGTTGTTCACCTTGGAATTAAGCTAGCTCTCCTTTGAAGTCTTAATGTACTGCCTCCATTGTCCAAGCTCAAACGCAACCAAGTTAAGATCAAGAGCTGAGGAATCTGGCTGGGTGCAGTCGCTTATTGCCTATAATCCCAATACTATGGGAGGCCAAGGCACGCGGATCACTTGAGGTCAGGAGTTTGAGACCAGCCTGGCCAATGCAGTGACGCCCTGTCATTACTAAAAATACAGAAATGAACCAGGTGTTGTAGCAGGTTGCCTGTAATCCCAGCTACTCAGGAGGCTGAGAATCACTTGAACCTGGGAGGTAAAGGGTGCAGTGAGCCGAGACTGTGCCACTGCACTCCAGCCTGGGTGACAGAGGGAGACCCTGTCTCAAAAATAAATAACTAAATAAATAAATAAGCTGAGGAATCTATCTTGACAGGCTAGATTCTATGAGTTTTCAGTATTTCTCCACATAGAACATTGGAGAAACTGAAGGTCATCCTCAACATGTACAAATTGCTATACCAGAAACTTTTCTTCAAGCCAAACTTTAGAGCAAGTTAGGAGAATCAATAGTTCCTCATTTCTAAGTTTAGGTCCTAAATTCCAAAATTTGAAAGAGGTTAGGGAGTAAAATGATGAAAAGTTGAACATCTGGAATGGAATTCATGAAAATGGTCAAGTCTTAGGCTTGTACTCCTGCCTTTATTTCAAAGTGTCATCAAAGGAAACAGCAGCAGCAGCACCTAGCTGAATTCTAGATGGGATATAAATAAAATATACATAGAAGAAATCTAAAAACAAGCTAAGTAAAGAATCCTTGCAGTGAGGTGTAATGCAACTTCATCACTTTATTCAAATCTTCAAAATAGTCTTTATTCTACATTTTTAGTATAAAAATTCCACAAGTTAAGTGCACCACAGTGTAGAGAGAGACATACAACGCTGAACTTCCATAACAGTCAATGGTACAGTCAAACATCACATGTACAGAACACACAATTTAGATGAACTGAAATTATAAGATAAAATAAAATAAAATCCAATTTCAGAAAACAAAAATCAAAACATTAAGGATCCCTGAAATATTCTTAACCCTAATAAGATTTCACTGGACTCAAGTCATTTTGTAGTGAGACATTCACAATATGACCCTATTAACCCAGTCTAGGAATTCTGGGGAGCCGAATGAGTGGCTGCATCAGACACTGACAAAAAAATGGTACCCAATTTTTGATCTGAAAACTCCTCTTAATTTGGCTCTTAACACATCAATCAAGCTTTTGAAATGCATCCTCCTCCTTGCCCCTCATATTTTAAACCAACTGTTGTTCACAGTACACTTTGCACGATATCTTTGTTCAAACATAGCTCAGTTTTTCTGGCACCAAAGCAAATTTGGGTTAGGTTTGTGTATGCAGAGACAACCTATGAGGAGGGCCCATAAGGCACCCTCCACTTTTGCCTGAGGAGATACGAAAGCAGAAGTAATGGGATCTGTGCTTGGGGCACAGAGAGGGTTTCAGAGGATCCTTGTGAAACACTAGTTAAAAGATGACGAGTGGGGAGAAGTGCGAGGAAAGAAGGAAATTAGTCTGACTGGCTTTCTGTCCTGCACCATTGATTCAATGGAGACTGGCGGGAGGAAATGGAAGACTAGGGTTGGAGATGGGATGGGTGGGGCAAGGGATGGAAAGGAAAAGGCAGACAACTAATGCGTTCCATTTATAACAAGTAATATAAATCAAAGACTTAAAGGAGATTAAAGACCAATCAGAATAATTTGGCAACTTTAATTCTTAGGAAGATCAAAGTTCCCTCCAAACCTAATTTGATGTTTTATTACTAAAAGCAAAGACCAGTATGGTACAGTATTACTCCAGAGAAATTATAGGAAAATCCTTAGGGCGGCTTCACCCACATTCATTTTATGAATGGATACCTCCCCTACCTCAAAATGCTTTAGGGAGGTACTGCTACCATTACATGGTTCCTTATTAAATTTGAAAAGTGCCTGAAAGATTGGGCACCAGAAAGACACCCCAACAACATGTGTCTAAACTGCAACTTCAGGTTAATATGACTAAAGCAGTTACATTGTGAGAAGTGCTGAAGGTATGTGATGTCTTTCCCGGCACAAAGGTGGCCTTGGTTCCTCACCAGATGGTGTAGCCACCATCTGAACCACCCATGAAGAAGTTCCCCTTCCGCTGAGTTACGAGGACGTTGGCTCCCTGCATGACTGCAAGCTGAGCAGCATTGGGAGGGCATCCAGGAGGTGGAGGCTGAAAGGAAAGGATATAATAGAATGGGCACAGGGTGGCTAATATAAACGAAGGGAAGGGGACACAGGGGAAGCAGAGGCCTATTAGGATGAGGCAATGTGCTAACCAGCTGCATTTTAAGGAGCTAGTTCCACCATCAATTTGAGTTCTAAAGTAGGTCTATACTTCATGTGAACCCAAAGATACAAAGAGAAAAGGGAGCCTACCACTCATTCAAAGGGTTCCAGCTCTAAGAGGAAGCCTATGGCTAGTTTCTGCACATGAACAGGCCAGACCAACAGTCATTTGAGGGTAGGGAACCACTGTCCTACTCACATTCCCAAAACAGGGACAGGGTGCCAGTCTATGGATGAATCCCACATGCTTCCTACGTCGGTTTTTAGTTTTTTTTTTTAATTTTTTTGAGACAGAGTCTCGCTCTTGTTGCCCAGGCTGGAGTGCAATGGTGGGATCTGGGTTCACTGCAACCTCCGCCTCCCAGGTTCAAGTGATTCCCCTGTCTTAGCCTCCCAAGTAGCTGGGATTACAGGCACCCACTACCATGCCCATCTTTTTTTTTTTTTTTTTTTTTTGAGACAGAGTCTGGCTCTGTTACCCAGGCTGGAGTGCAGTGGTGTGATCTCAGCTCACTGCAACCCCCACCTCCTGGGTTCAAGCCATTCTCTTGCCTCAGCCTCCCAAGTAGCTGGGATTACAGGCGCCTGCCACCATGCCCAGCTAGTTTTCGTATTTATAGTAGAGTCAGGGTTTCACCATGTTGGCCAGGCTGGTCTCGAACTCCTGACCTCAGGTGAGCCACCATAGCCGGCCCTTACATAGTTTTTGAATAAAGTACTGGATAACTGAAGGCTCACTAATGACACATACTCGCCTCATTTCTAGCATGTAGTTACAGAGTAGTCATTTGGGCTCTAAATCTCATGCACTGGGGAATTAAGTAGGAAAAAATGATAACTAACACTGTTAATATCTATCTAAAAGCTACTTACTAGGGATTATACATTCTACTTTGTTAATCATCAGGGTTCCTAGTACAACACCATGCTGATGGCAAATATTGAGTAAATGCTTATGGAATGAGTAAGAAGCATTACTAGACCAGTTCAGTGTACCAAAATGAACTGGAAAAGCAGCAAGTAGGACTCGATAGACATGAAAACAAAAGAATCAGGTTAACTCAGTCCCCAGTGAGATGCTATTCACTTGCCACAGTTTTGCCCCCTCAAACACTTTCTGATGAGGTCATACTCACAGGAATGTTGCCAGCAGTAGCCCCAGCTCCAAATCTGGCACCTGCATCATACCCTCCTTCCACCAGCACTGTGGAGCCAGGTGGATAGATGGGACTGACTGGATAATAAGCCATGGGGATTGTGGAACCTAAAGGCCCAACAGCCACAGACTGGGCCATGGGAAGATACAGAGAGGCTCCAGGAAATGCGGCTGACATGGTGGGGACTGTGGCAGCCCCTGGGTGCACAAAACTCGGACGATAGAGCTAGAAAAGGCAGAAGAGAAGGCAAAATGTTATTTGATTACATTCCTATTTGAGATCTCTTTAATAAGCCAATTCTTAATTCTCCTTGTGCAGGTTATACTTTTTGTAAGATCACATAAGTTGCCTTGCCACTGGCCTTCAATATTCTCCTAGATCACTTCCTGCTATAGCTAATGTTGGGCTCACAGAACGCAAATTCATCTTCTGCACCTCAGCCTGTGCCAAATAACACAAAATCATCCAATAATGTACTTTCAACTCCGACAAAAACTGCCAAATTATATAGTGTTTTAGATTATTCATGTGAGCATTTGTGAAGAGTGAACATGTGAAGTCAGACGTAGCTAAGGACTAAAGGACCACTCTAAGAGTATTCTCAGCTAGTTCAAGTCTGTCAAACTGGAAGCACCTCTGAGTAGGCAGGTGGAGCATCAGTATAGGGTGGAGCCTGAGGAAGATGCAAGGTCTGAGGGTATACTGGATTCCCAGGAGGCTGCACAGGGTAGGTTGGCTGTGTTGGATATTGACCTGAAAGACAAGAAAAAAATGCAGGTTACCTACTACACAGAGCTACCAAAATGAGACAGGTCATACCGGGTAGCTAACCTAGTGGGAGCAAGCGGAAGGGATTTGCAAATAGTCTGCCTCAGTGGGCCTGATTCCTGGAACTAAGAAAATATGCATTGTCTTTACACCCTTAAAATGGAAGGTGCTGGATTCTGACGGGACAGGAAAGGCACTGCTCACTGCTCCTACTAACACAGGAGTAAGGGGTTAAGTCTAGCTGGGCACAAGTTCCCTCTGGAATGCAGGACAGGTCTGGGGTTCTGGCCTGCTGCTGTTCTGGCTTATCACCGGTGCCTCTGCCTTAGGTAGTCTCCACAGCCTGTCTACAACCAGCCCAGACTTCGTGGCTAACAGTTCTGATTTTCCTTACAGATTACTATTCAAGGTCGACTTCCAAACAAAGGGTGTGAATGATGGAAGTGAACCGTGAGACCGGGAAAAGGGTGCAGGGCTGAGGAGGAATGTCCTCACTGGAAAAGCGGGGGATGATGTTTGGTGTTTTGTTTGTTTTGAGACGGAGTTTCGCTCTGTCACCCAGGCTGGATTGCAGTGGCGCTATCTCCGCTCACTGCAACCTCCGTCTCCTGGGTTCAAGCAATTCTCTTACCTCAGCCTCCGGAGTAGCTGGGATTACAGGCGCCCGCCATCACGCCCAGCTAATTTTTGCATTTTTAATAGAGTCGGGGTTTCACCACGTTGGCCAGGCTGGTCTCGAACTCCTGACCTCAGGTGATCCGCCCGCCTCGGCCTCCCAAAGTGCTGGGATTACAGGCGTGAGCCACCGCGCCCGGCCTGTTTTTTTTTTTTTTTTTTTTCTATTCCTTTCTTTCCCCCCTCACCCTATTCCTGGGTTATGGGAATCATGTTCTGACAGACACACTGGTACAACCACAGAGAAGGGGATAAGTTCTGATCCCGTCAGCGAAGGGCGAGGGGGTGCGAAGGGAAGGAGAAAACAGACCTCACAGGCCCCGGCCCACGCGCCTACTCCAGCAACTCACTAGTTAAGTTCGGGCCCCGCCGGGGGTTCCGGAGCGCGGCGCCCCGCCTCCGCCGGCTCTCCATTGGCCTACGCGAATGCCTGCGCTAGCGCTCTATTTGCTCCTGCGGATGCCCATCATGTCAAGCCCCCCCACCACCCGAGCCCGCAGCTCCAAACTGCGCCACAGAGTTTACGGAGGAAAGGGCCTGGAGGCAGCAAGCAGCCGTAATTTGGGGATGACGAAGGCGTCAGGCGCAGCGCCGTGGACTGCAGCCGGCCAAGGAGCGCGACGCAGCCCACCCCAAACCTGGCGTTTGGTGACCCTGGGCTCCGGACCCGCTCACTCTGGGCCAGCAGTACTCCCCCCGACGGCCTCTGCTACCCTCGGTCCTTGCCTTTGCTGTTCATGGTGGCTGCGGGTCCGGTTCGTCTGGGCGTCGCGGACGGTTATTTTTTTCGTCCTCTTCCTGTTCGGAGCTACTTCCGTGTCACGTGATGTTCCGTCCGCCTAGCGTCACCCGACGCCTTAGTGGCACTGCCGCCGGAAACTCCGCCTCTGCGCCCGGCCTCCAGTCGATCGCGGGAGGGTCGGCGCGGTCCCGCCCACTCGCCTTGGCCCCACCCCCTGCTCGTTCCCGTCCTCCACCCCCTACCGGTGTCCCTCAGCTGGAGACAAACCAAACGCAGGTATTGTCTCGATTCAGGATCTTTTCTCTGTTGGACGCTGGGCGGCAGAACGATGCAAGCATTCCCCGGAACCTTTCTCTGCCTACACTCATTCACTCAAGGTCACCTCACCTTGGCAACCTTCCACGAGGGGCTTATATTTCTGCAAATTTGTCGCACTGCCTGAAATCGGCTCCTCACGCCTTAGTTTATCATGCGTCCCTCCCCACCAAACCCAACTTAAGCTTCAGCTCTGTTAAAATTTATTTTGCCACTCCAGCTCACATGTATCCTTTCCTGGATGAGACCTCCACTGGAATCTTCGCCGCCCTGTCTGCTCCAGGACAGGCTGTCGGCATGTTCTCGTGTTCGTTTCTTTTTCTCACGTACAGGAAGGGGTTATGTTTTCAGTGTACGCAACAGCTGGCACTGAAACTGACATACCTGCAGTCCTCATGGAGTGCTTGTGGCCCTGCCCTTTTTTAGCACCTGTTACAGGTGACCTGTATGGTACCTCTATTTTTCTCTATGTATGGCTTTGCTTTCTAACTTAATTACCCATAAGGGCAAAGATGGCATCCTTTAGGGCAGCGATTAAGTGTTTTTCTTTTCTTTTCTTTTCTTTTCTTTTCTTTTTTTTTTTTGAGACAGAGTCTCGCTCTTGCCCAGGCTAGGATGCAACGGCGCGATCTCACCACAACCTCCGCCTCCTGGATTCAAGCAATTCTCCTGCCTCAGCTTCCTGAGTAGCTGGGACTACAGGCGCACGCCACCATGCCCGGCTAATTTTTGTATTTTAGTAGGGGTTTCACTATGTTGGCCAGGCTGGTTTTCTTTCTAAAAAATACGTATATACATATATTTTATTCTTTTATTTATTTATTTTATTATTATTTTTTTAGATGGAGTGTCGCTCTGTCGCCCAGGCAGGAGTGCAGTGGTGTGATCTCGGTTCACTGCAACCTCCACCTCCTGGGTTCAAGCGATTCTCCTGCCTCAGCCTCCCGAGTAGCTGGGACTACAGGCGCGTGCTATTCATTTTTTAATACAGAGATGGGGTCTCGCTGTGTTGGCCGGGCTGGTCTTGAATTCCCGGCCTCAAGCGATAGTTCCACCTCCATTGTCCAATGATTAAAGGGTTAACTCTTAGGACCCAGGAACTCTCCTGGGCCTACCTCCTGCTCATGTAAGCTGCCCTCGGATTGGTCAGAGCCTACTTTGCAGGTCGTTGGGTATTTTGCTTGTCACAGGGACCTGGGCATTGGGAAAACCAGGGCAGAGCCAAATGAAATTACCAACAAAAACGAAAAGAGTTGCAGGCTAATGCTTTCTGTGGCAGGTGGAATTAAGAAGTAAATAGTGGCTGGGTGCAACAGCTCACACTTGTAATCCCAACAATTTGGGCGGCCTAGGCAGGAGGATCGCTTGAGCCGGGAGTTCAGAACCAGCCTAGGCAACATAGTGAGACTTCGTCTCTACAAAAAAAAGTAGTAGTAACTAGCTACTTTCTTGGACGGGATCAAGCTTTGACATTTTCTTCATTCTCGTAGATTCCCCAATGAGATGAAAATGTTTATTTGGTCATTTATCAAACATTCTTTCTTGCATTAATTTAACAAATATTTTTTGAGCACCTGTTATGTGCCAGGTCCTGTGACAGGCACTAGGGAAATCATAATGAAGAAACCGGCATAGTCCCTACTCTTATGGAATTTATGGTCTACCTAATGGGAGAGACAGAAAAGTGAACACATAACATAGTATGATTAGTGCTGACATAAAGACAGCATGGGTGTTAGGAGAACGCGTAGGTGAGGCACCTCCTCTATTCTGATACTCAGGGAAGGTTTCCTGATGCAAGTGATGTTTGAGATGAAATCTGAAGGGTGAGAACAAGTTAAGCCAGTGAAGAGAGTTCCTGGAAGAGGGAACTGCTTATGTAAAGGCCTAGAGGTGAGAAGGCTTAGAGAGGGGTAGGGCATGAAACAGTTTGGTGTAGCCAGAGCATACTGGTAAGGGGACTGATAAGAGATGACGCTGAAGAACCAGGCATGGTGAATAATGCCTGTAATCCCAGCGCTTTGGGAGGCCAAAGCGGGCAGATAACTTGAGGTCTGGAGTTCGAGACCAGCCTGGCCAACATGGTGAAACCTTGTCTCTACTAAAAACACAAAAATCAGCCTGGCATGGTGGTGCGTGCCTGTAATCCCAGCTACTTGGGAGGCTGAGGCAGGAGAATCGCATGAACCCAGGAGGCGGAGGTTGCAGTGAGCCAAGATCCCGCCATTGCACTCCAACCTGGGCGACAGAGCGAGATTCAGTCTCAAAAAAAAACAAACAATACAACAACAACAACAAAAAAAAACAGATGACGCTGAAGAACTGTGAGCCCAACCTTGCGGGGACGCCTTAGAGCCCATGTGAGATCCCACATGAAGATACTGGATTCTGTGTTAAGGGCACAAGTTAGTCACTGAAGAATGTTAAGCAGGAAAGTGATATGATCTTGTTTTTGTTTGTTTATTTGTTTGTTTGACTGATTGGGAGAGGGTCTTGCTCTGTCACCCAAGCTGGAGTGCAGTGGTGCAATCACAGCTCACTACAACCTTGAATTCCTGGTCTCAGTTCATCCTCTCACCTCAGTCTCCCTAGTATCTGGGACAGTCGGTGCTTGCCACCATGCCTGGCTAATTTTAATTTTTTTGTAGAGACAGAGTCTCACTTTGTTGCCTAGAGTGCTCCTGGCTATGTTTTTATTTTAGAAAAATGCTTCTGGGCTGGGCACAGTGGCTCACGCCTGTAATCCCAACAATTTGGGAGGCCAAGGCGGGAGGATTGCTTGAGCCCAAGAGTTCAAGACCAGCCTATGCAATGTGGTGAAATCCCATCTCTGCAAGAAATTTCTAAAAAATTATCCAGGCATAGAGGCACGCACCTGTGATCCCAGCTACTCAAGGGTTGAGATGGGAGGACTGCTTGAGCCCGGGAGGTCGAGGCTGCAGTGAGTCGTGGTCGCACCACCGTACTCTCCAGCCTCGGTGACAGAGGCTACTCAAAAAAATAAAAGTAAAGAAAAATCCCTCTGATGGCTAAAGAATATAGAATAGGTTAGAGAAGGGGCAAGAGTGGAGGTATGTCTGAGATACCAGTTAGAATCAAATTTAGTCATTTAGGGGTGATGATGGCAGACTGGCCTAGGGAAGAGGCAGTACAGTACAGAGAAATGGGGGGATTCCAGAAATATTCAGGAAGCAGAAACAACTGGACTAGTTCCAGGACTAATGTGAGGGACAAAAACTCTACAAAGTCAAAACTCCATATAGTCAAATGACAAATTGGAAAAGTGTATTTGCAATTTACATCACAAAGGGCTAATCTTCCTGTATGTAAAGAACTCTTAGACATCAGTAAGAATATGATCAACCATTAGAAAAAAATAGCAAATGACATTTACAGACAGACAGTTCACAGAAAAGGAGAAACAAATGACTCCCTAACACATGAAATGATGTTCAGCCTGGGTCATAATCAGAAGGCAAATTAAACCCTGCAGATATCATTATCAGATTGGCGAAAATCCAAACATTTGCTAACATTACTCTATTTGCAGGGCTGTGGATAAGCAGGCATTCTAATTTATTGGTGATGGGGGTGAAAATTGGTACAAATCCTATAAGGTTAATTTGGCAATATCCATCAAACTTGCAAACAAACCATTCCCACTAATGGGAGTGATTCTACAGATATATTTGCACTCACGAGAAACGTATGTATAAGGCTATTCATTGCAGCTTTTCTGTAACAGCAAAAGATTATAAATAACCCATATTTCTATCAATAGGAAACAGACAATGTAAATCTTGATACATCCATACAATAAAATACTATATGGCTGCAACAGAGAATGAGAAAGTACTCCAAAGTGTTCTTTAAATAAAAAGGGGAAACATTCAAAACCATATATTTAGTATGATACATTTTATTTTATTTATTTATTTAATTTTATTTTTTATTTTATTTTGAGACAGAGTCACACTCTGTCACCCAGGCTGGAATGCAGTGGTGTGATCTTGGCTCACTGCAACCTCCGCCTCCCAGGTTCAAGCGATTCTTGTGCCTCAACCTCCCAAGTAGCTGGGATTACAGGTGTGCACCACCATGCCTGGCTAATTTTTGTATCTCCAGTACAGTCGGGGTTTTGCCATGTTGGTCAGGCTGGTCTCAAACTCCTGGCCTCAAGAGATCTGCCCGCCTTGGCCTCCCAAAGTGCTAGGATTACAGGTGTGAGCCACCGTACCTGGCCAATATGATACTTTTTATGTCAAAGAGTAGGAAAACCAAGAATATTCATTAGAATTTGAGTAACGAAATTCTGGAAGGATACACAAAATACCTGTAAAAGTGGTTACATAAAGGGGAGAGAGAGTGGAGGATGTGAAACAAAGGTGGAAGTGACTTTTTACTATATACTTTTTAGATGTTTAAAAATATTTGAACCTATAATCCCAGCACTTTGGGAGGCCAAGGCAGGAGGATCACTTGAGGCCAGGAGTTTGAGACCAGCCTGGACAACATAATGACACCCCATCTCCACACACACAAAAATACATCAGTTAACCTGGCGTGGTGGCACATACCTATAGTCCCAACTACTTGGAAGGCTGAGGTGGGTGGATCACTTGAGTCCAAGAGTTCAAGGCTGCAGTGAGGATAATGGCACCATGGTACTCCCGCCTGGATGACAGCAAGATCCTATCTCAAAAAAAAAATAGAGGATGGGCACGGTGGCTCACGCCTATAATTCCAGCACTTTGGGAGACCGAGGCAGGTGGATCACCTGAGGTCAGGAGTTCGAGATCAACCTAGCCAAAATGGCGAAACTTAGTCTCTACTAAAAATACAAAAATTAGCCAGGTGTGGTGGCACATGCCTGTAATCC